AAAAAAAAAGGAAAAATACAGGCTGTGTCTGTAGCTCAGTGGGTAAGGCACTGGCCACACACACCGAAGCTGGTTCAAATCTAGCTCGGGCCAGCTGAACAACAATGACAACTGCAACTAAAAAATAGTTGGGCTCTGGGGTAGGTGACCTAAAACAAGATAGGTCTCTTTTTTTGAGACAGAGTCTTACTTTGTTGCCCTGGGTAGAGTGCAGAGGTGTCATAGCTTACAGCAACCTCGAACTCTTGGGCTCCAGTGATTTTCTTGCCTCAGCCTCCCAAGTAGCTGGGACTACAGGTGCCCGTCACAATGCCTGGCTACTTTCAGAGTCAGGCTGGTCTTGAACTCCTGAGCTCAAGCAATCCACCCACCTCAGCCTCCCAGAGGGCTAGGAATACAGGTATGAGCCACTGCACCTGGTCTTAAGATAGGCATATTTTAAAAAACCAACAGCTTTCTTAAGTCAGCAATAACCAGTCAGAATAATAGGGGGGAAAATCCTGCTTAAACTAGTAAGACCCCTCAAGCCCTGGTGCACACTGAGGAGAGTGGCTGTGTGAGCGTGCACATACACCCCTCCCCTTAGCAGCTTGGGAAACGCCTTCTTCCCAATCCCTTGCCTCCACCTCTAGATGACTACAGCGGCCCTGGATTGGCCTTTCTGGCTAAGTGTGGTATCCCTCAATATTGCACCTAGAGTGGGCTTTATTTACTTTTAGTATTTTCTCTCTTAAGGACTTTTTTCTGAAAACATCCATTTGACTGTTTCACTCCTCCACTTAAATGCTTCGCTCTTATATCCAAACCCTTACCTTTCACACAAGTCCCTTCACAATCTGCCACCCTCCCACCTACTTTCCAGCTTCATTTTCAGCTACTATTCCATTGTCGTCCAATACCACAGCTATCTGCAGCTCCTGAAACATTTGAATATTTTTTTCTTGTCTCTTTTCTCTTTGAACATAACCCCGAAGAACACTCTGTCGCCTGGAATCTCTTTCTTCTCTCTTCCTCTGGCTACTTGCCATTCAGCCTGTAAGACTCATTCAGGGCTCTGTTCCTCCACCAAGTCCTGGTTGATGCCCTGCTTCCTTAGCATCTTGTGCTTCTAGATAACAACACAAGTTATGTAGAACTTGTGACTGTCTGATCTGTTCCTGCTTTTGCTCACCAAAATGAGCTTCCTGAGCCTAAGGGTTCATCTCTATCCCTGGCAGGGAGCACAGTGGCAGGAGACAGGAATCAGGAGAGCAGGTTGGCTGAATGACAGATCACGTTATACGAAGAATAACATATTTTTACTAAAGTACATCACAAAAGATTTGAATAAAGGGAAACTATACCGTATCATGAAATGGAAAGATTGCCACAAAGATGCCAGTATAGAAATTAATTTACAGGTTTAACATAATAAAAAAACTCAGTAGGTTGTTTTATTGGAGTACAACCAACTATTTCTAAACCTATTTTAGAAATATAACTAGGTAAGAGTATAAAATACTACTTTGAAAAAGAAGAGTTCTGGCTCGGTGCCTGTGGCTCAACTGGCTAAGGCGCCAGCCACGTACACCTACGGTGGCGGGTTCTAATCCCCAGCCCAGGCCTGCCAAACAACAATGACGGCTGCAACCAAAAAATAGCCGGGCATTGTGGCGGGCGCCTGTGGTCCCAGCTACTTGGGAGGCGGAGGCAGGAGACTCGCTTGAGCCCAGGAGTTGGGAGGTTGCTGTGAGCTGTAATGCCACGGCACTCTACCCAGGGGGACAGCTTGAGGCTCTGTCTCAAAAAAAAAAAAAAAGAAGAGTTCTGAGGTACAACTAGCCTTATAAGATATTAGAACATCTGATAAAGCAACAATAATTAAAATTATATGAACCAACACCAAAAATAAAATAGATGGATAGACATGTAGAATTAAAAACAATGAAGAGGTTAGGGAGGAAAAAAAGAAACTCAGAAGTAGAACCTATTATAAATAAGAATTTAACATATAATAACAGAGGCATAATTGAATAAAGGGGAACAGAAGGATTTAAGTTTAGGAAAATGCTCAAAACTTTTAGAAAATTTCTCCAGTAAATGCCAACTGTGTGGTCCAATACTATTGGACTATGATTCATTTGTCCTCTACACATTTACTGACCCGACTAACCTTGGCACTAGGTACTATGCTAGGCACTAGCTATGTAAGGCTCCAACAAGAAACTGTCCCCACTTTAAAGGTTCTGTGAAGGGAATCCTGGAAGTGAAAAAGAAATGTCACTTTGAAGGGAAGACCAAGATAACATGTTATTAGGAGTCTTTAACGTCTCACTCTAATTATTTATCAAGAAATTTTGTTTGAGGTTGTGTGAGCTAGGCTGACACCACAGCACTCTAGCCTGACAGAGTGAGACTCAAAAAAAACGAATTTTTATCCAGCCTTTCTGCAGACTAGGGAAAGGAGTGTATCAATACTTATCATAAGAGGAATGCAAAGTGTGCATCAGAAATGTCTAAAGCTATCACTTCTCGGCCCTTTGGCCAAAATCAGTATAGAAATGTCTAAAGGTGTTTCCTAGCTGGCAACACATAGGAAAATGCATTTGAAACACACAT